ATATTATGTTGTTCTAAAAGCAATAGTATTCGTAGTTCTTTAAGAAAATTTTTTCGAATTTTGGTTGCATTTCTATACGGTGTTCACWGTAGCCTACGTCGTCGAAGCCGCTGCGTACTGGGTAAATAAGAATTCGAYCCTTAATTGTGTGCCTAATAGATAAAACAATAAAAAGGAATAAACAAAACATAAAAAGATATATACAGTAGTGKTTAGTAATTGAGTAGTCGAAAAAATCTTTTCGTATTTGTAATGAAACTTCAACTTATTTTTTTTTTTTTTATATTTATAATGAACTTTACTGAACCAAATATTTACTATTTTGGTCGACCACTTTTTGCCATTTTTCCGCTAGAGACATTATTCCATCAGTGTAAAACTTTTCTGGATCTTCGGCGAAATACTGCGACAAGTAATTTTCACAGACTTCTCTTGAAGSCAACTTTACTCCATTAAGGGGGTTCTGCGTTGACCGAAACAAATCGTAGTACGATGGAGCAGCTCACAGTGTACGATTCCGTTCCAATCCCACCAAACAATCAGCATAACCTTTCGAGGAGCCAATCCTGTCTTTGCGACCATTTGTTSAGCTTTACCACGCTTGATCTCTTTCGCACATTATTGTCGTATTTGATCCACTTTTCGTCTTCTGTTACCATGCGCTTCAGAATTTGTTTGATTTCATTTCGTTTCAGCAAAGAATCGCAGCTGTTAATTTGGTCCATTAAATTTTTCWCAGACAATTCATGTGGTACTTAATATTCGGGGAAGCACATGAGACGATTTGCAACTTGAACGCATACAACACCACCCTTATGTGAGTGYGGAGAGTTTTATAAATTATAATGCAAGAATACTACTAGTTTTAAGGGACTTCTCTCATTTATTGATCGAGAGAGAGCAGAGACGGGTATATATTGATGCATCGTTGCGTACCTTAATCAAGTAATGTCTTTCTTCTACAATAACTTGCTAGATATCCCGAACTACGCTCCATCGGAAACGCAAGAGTCTTTCCCATAAATTAATTAAACGAACCGTATTCTAAGCTTAAGAAAAATATTTTAAGCGAAATATAATTTATTTTGGAAATCGCATTTTCCATAACCGTTATAATAGCTGGATACGCCACTGTACATATGTATTTCAAATACAAGCCTATGTTGTTAAACATTTCTCATTCTCACAACGCGAAGCTACATATAAATATGAATACGTGGTTTTGGCAATTTTTGTTTAGAATACAAACCACTTTCAATTCTAAAAGTTGCAAAATGAGTTTATTTTTTTATGTGAGTTTATATTAATTCGAGTATAAAAGCAATTTCACTGAAAATATTGTAATATGAGTACAAATCTTTTATGCTCTCGCCTAATGGCGTTGATGACTAGGCGAATTGATTTTCGGTTGTCCATATACTCGTASAGCAAACTGGTACACTTATTATTTGGCATGTGGTATCGGATGATTACCACCGAAATCAATTCTGATGCAAGTAGGCATGGCGGAAGTGACGGGTGTGGTTTGGATGGCTTTGAAACGTTGAGGCTTTCAGACAGCATTAGAGGTTTAATGTATACCATATATGCTATAACTATTACAAGTTTGTCAACCATTGCATGCTCGTATCTCATGCTACTGGTTGAACYACAACTTGGTAGTTTTGAACCAACTTTTGTCATAATCTCTTTATGATTTCCCTCATAAACAATGCCCTCATATGTAATCCAAACCTGGTCGCAATCGATCCATACCTTGCCCAGTCGTCCAAAATGAGAAAATCTCTGTACATGAGACTGTCAGTGAATATCCCAAATACCCGTAATTAAGTTGAGTATATTTTAGGCTGGARTACTTATATTTTTTAGTCTGATAGCACCAATATAAATATATTTGGAATTGTCTTAAGATATATAGGCTAAGTTTGCCAGATGAGTTGAATACTTCCACTTGTTCTTACCGTGCGATTCTGTACTGTGATACAGTCTCAAGCCTCTAAATTTGAGATTTTAAGTCAGAGACAATTTTTGAGACTTGATACGATTTCTTTTTAGTTTTGTGACCTGCTAACTATCAGGTCTCAAATTTGCGGCAATATTTTGAGACTAACGCTAGAGACTGTTTAGTGAATAGTAACTCGACATAAATTGAGACTTTACCTCAAAATGTCTCAAATAGAGACTAGAGATTGGTTACAGAATCCCGCTGTTAACCTCTAAACAATGCTCAGAAATTCAGATTTGGATTTGAATATTTCTAGAAGTAGATTTTTTCTTTTTTCATGCGCCCGAATGCGTAATTTCCTAGAATTCGACATACAGAATACATATTTACATGTTAAATGGACTGCAACGTTTGGATTATAATTGCAATGTTACGTTTACGCACTCACACACACATTGTTAAAAAGCTCAATTTGATTGAATTTCACAAAATGTAGAAATCAAATAGATGTACATATGTAAGTCGAATATATGCAAGTGGTTCCAAGAATTGCAAATATTTGTGAATACGTACATACATACATACATAGGTAAGCATAAAAGCCGGTCAAGTGCAGCATTGGACTATATATATACTTGTATGTATGTATGCCTATGTAATTGCAGTAAAGAGGGCCTCTCAGTAAAACGTTTTTTGCTGCGACATGCGTTGAGTATRTAATTATATAAGAGGTGCACGAGCGCATCGAAGTTTAGTCTCATGCAACTAAGAGCAGTGCGAACTTGTGCCTACACCAACACCACTTATTATGCCTGCTGAGTTAAAAGCTCCTTACGCCGTCATGATATTGCGAGACAACAACCATAACGAAAAATGACACAACACTCCACCATTGAGCTGACGACCGAGCAGCTGCAATTAATGCTGGAYTCGGTGCGTTCTGCAGCCGTTGCAGCAGCCAATTGTGCCGCCCCAGCCATCGTGATGATGAGGGGCACGTTCATGTATTGCAATAGTCGTCTGGGCGATCAACATGATTCTGCTTATGTCGAGGAGTTTATTCAATCTGTATTGGCTTACAAGGATATGGAATCGATCAGTGATGAGGACGCGCTTAAAAGTATCGCCATACTGTTTTACGGCGAGGCAGCTCTATGGTGGCTGGGTGTGCGTGGGGCGAAGGAAGTACATACGTGRGACGAGGCAATCGCTTTGATTCGTGAGCACTTCGCACCCGCCAAACAAGCTTATCAACTTTATATGGAGATCTTTGAGGAAAAGCAAGATGACGAAACAACCATTGGAACATTTGTCTGTCGGAAGCGTGCGCTACTCGCACAACTGCCCGAGAGGCGTCACGATGAAGAAACCGAGTTGGATATGGTCTATGGTTTGCTGAATATGAAGTATCGGCGTCAAATATTACGTCAGGATGTTAAAAGTTTTCGTGATTTACTTGAGAGAGGAAGAGCCGTTGAGCATAATTGTAAGGAAGCCGATGTGAAGAAACGTAAAAATAATTCCTAAACGGAGGWGTTTGAAAKTCTYCATCCTRACGTCAGATCGCTTACTAATAGGTGAAYGGTACAATCCATTCTTTGTATTGTGATCTTRAAATACGAATCCATTAAAAGTGCGGAAAGATGGTAAATTTGCTGTTTCTAAGTTAGCGGAAGCGACAAGCTAGATCTTGGAAACATGTATACCCTTATAAAATTATTTATAAACTGAGATCAGAGTTCAGAGAACGATAGAGCTCCGTTATAAAGGGTAGTTTAAAGTCATAAGTAGGAAAGGAGTTAAAGGGATGTAAGAAATGTATATATAAAATGAATAAAGAGAATGTTTTATAAAGTAACGTTAATTTTAAAACTTCTGCGTCGCAATCACCTTAGAGGTTATGTAGACTTAGACTTTTTTTGAAAATTTTTTACTTACCCGAACGATTTAGTGAAATAAATAGGTTTATGCAAACAATAGTAATTTTACTGAAAAGTGRGATTTTTGAAAGTCTCTAAACTTCGTTATTTTATCCCAAAATCCTTACGTTTCAAAGAAATCTATCTTCGTTCAAGGCCACATGATACTGAAATGTGTTTTTTTTTTTTTGTTTGTTTTTCAAATTAATCACATAACGGTTTAAAAACGTACGAGTAGGTTGCGAGTCTATAGCACACTTGGACTTGGAGTTACACTTCTAACATAATTCGTTTATTAGCGCCCGCTATTCACCAGCAGGTGGCGCGCTTTTGATTTTTTTCTTTTTACTTCCAGCTGTTTGCGGGCAGTCCGGCAGCACTGCACACACCACCATTCAGTGCTCTCGAACTGCATTTGATTCAGTCTGACTTTTTCGAATATTTGGTGTGGATGTCTGGACGGAAAGTCGCGGTTGATTGAAGTGAAAATTCGACTTTGTTCTGATGAAATCTAAAGTTTTTTGAATGAAAGTGGCATAGTGTATGRYCTTGCACATTTCACTAATTATTTTTATAACTAGTCTTAAATACTGAAAAGGCATTACAGTRTCCATTTTATTAATTGAAGTTGCAGATATTTCGCGAAAGTGCTTTTCGTCTGCAAAATTATTTTTGYGCAAACAAATTGATAGAGTAGCACCGCGAGCGGCAATGGCGGCCGCGGGCAGCCTTAGTGGGAGTGAGATAAATATATAAATTGCGCAGGGCTTTTGTTTATCAGTCCGAATTTTGTTTTTGTTTCACGTARAATCGCGTTTTGTTTATTCGAATCGGAAAAATACAACAATGARAGGTCGAGCGAATGTGTGAATTGTTTAATAATAGTMGAATTGTTAGTGTAGTAGTGCGCGTCCAAAAGCCGGTAAAACAACAAGTTCACCGTTTCAATTGAGGCAATGCTATCAAGTAATTAACAGTTCGTTTTCTATTAAGAATTAAATTACTTTTCGAATATTAAACGCATGTGAATGGGTATGTGCAACTTCCCCTATTCCTTGCTTCAATGCGTCGCCTGCGAATACACATTCAAAGCGTATTTGTAAAAGTGTTAAAAGTGCGAGAAAATGAAAAAATACTACSTTGAGGCTGTGTGTTGCAATTGCTTGCTGGAAAATGCATGAAATAATGAGAACCTTGGATATTCATCAAAAGGATTAACTACAAAGAGGACACACATTGCAATTTAGACAAGTGACTGCGGGGTGCCAAATCGATTGTGCACCACAGRAGACGGAGACGGAGAATACGCATAGTCCGTGTAGATGGTAAATATGTGGACTCGCCTGTCGGCAGGCGTGCGGTCACGCAAATGGCAACAAAAACACCAGCAACCGTGGCGSCTGCAGTTACATGCAATCGTATTAGGATTTTTGGCTTCATTATTGCTGCAAGCGCATTCTKCAAATGCAAGTCAAGGTGAGTGAAAGTATCAAAACACTGCATGACAGATTCCCACGTCCTAAAGCGGGGTAATTTTATGTTCGAAACCACAAGTAACTGTAAATAAACGGTATATGTTTGAAAAATCCAAAAGCTTTCGAAGTTTGACAGGAAGTACTGTATTTTAAAAAATTTGTACATACATAAGAGAGATGTAAATTACAAAGTTTTCTCAACTTATAGCTATGCAATAATTAATATCGAAAACAGATTTAAGCATTAGTGCTTTAAATCTGATTCGAAAGCAGATGTCCTCAAATAAGTCAATATTCAATAATTCTTTGCCGCGCCTTCTTGAGCGTTGGAATGCCAACATTTTGGTTATATATTCCCGACTTTAAGGCTTATTTAATATTTTACCGGTTTTTTGAGAGAATTTTTACTTTATGAAAGTATATTCTTGGCGTTAATTTCAAACAAATTATTAGCGGCGAATCGTGCCTGCAAATGCATAAATCCATAMATACATACATACTATGCCGTTGTCCACGGACCGCCACGACTGAAAGCGCGCTAAAAAGCGGAAAGTCACACTTCAGTGTATTTGCTCAAACTCAAATGTAGCGAAGCATTGGCAATTACAGGAAAATATTTCGCACATTTTATGGCAACAAGAAATACAACTTTGCAGAGCAAATACAAATTTACATACACACATACTGAAGGAATCTAATGGGGCATTGAACAAATATTGAATTTACGGCAGAGCGAAGAGACAGCGCCGAGCAATGCTAATTAGTCATAGCTGAAGGCACGAGTTTCAACGTCTAGCGTCTTAGTATATTCATCAAATTGATGAACAGTGTAATTAAGTGTACGAAGCATGTGTGTATGTATTCAGTAAAAACCAAATATTCAACATTTAGGCATCCACGCAATCATTTGTGCACCTTTGCTTCTAAGAGCTTTAACACATGACAGTGCGATTTATGAGGCGTCTTTGTGTCTGCGCAGAAAATCAAATATAAAAGTGCAAAAAACAAAAATGGCAAATAGGCCGAAAGGCAGCAACTAAACTGTATGCGGACGTGCGAAATTTCACATTGCCATTTCTACCTAAAAGCATGGCAAATACATAACGTCATATGCATTTGAAGATAAGATAAGGATACGCAAATTTGCGCACTTACTCACCCAACTTTGGTCAACTAATTAAAACGTGGTCATGCATCATACATGAGACAAAACGTGGCCAGATATAAATGAATGTGATGTGAGTGGTACCAGCTAAATTAAGCCAAAACCCACATTGCCGTTATTATGCATGCGTTATTTCACAATTGATCTGCCCTTATCAACGCGCCGTAATCACCAAGTCCATAAGCAGCGTAATGCCTGTGAGCGCCTGCTCAAAAGCCAACTGCTTGTGATTCCATTCAAAGCATTTATACCTTTGCATATGGTCTCATATTTGAACGCTTTTATAATGTGAGAAGCAATTTATTTTMTTTTTTTAATTGGTATTTTTCGATTTTCTTCTGGTTTACGATTTTGGGAGCGTTGTCGCGCCGAATCGATTGAAAAGTGTGTAGAAATGAAAAGCAAACAAAATGTGGCCAACACCTTCAATATGAATTGCTTCATTAACGTTTGCATTTTAATCTAAATTTTAAATCAAATATTTGATCGAGTGTCGGTGACACTCGACTGACTGACTGATACCCCCGATTGATAAACAGCGAACGCTGGCGAAGTAAAAAGTTTGACGCTCAGACGKTCACATTGACTGTGAATATGGTGAATTGACGAAATCGTTACAACATGATCCACTGGAGGCAAACTGTGTCGTAACCAGCGTCACATTTCATATTAGAAGTTATTGTGCGTCGTTTTTCGAAGCAAGTACGATCTTTAGAAAAAATAATCATTGGAAATCTTAGTTTTTTCACTTTATTACACTAGTTGGTGGGTGCTATATTTTCTTGAATAGCAGGGCATTCAATTTTATTTTTATGAGTAGCCCTTTTCTAGCTTCGTGATGAAGTGGCTTTGATAGGCATATACTGCTTCCAGCACCATTTTTTGATTATGACAATGGAAAAAAAGGTTATGCTCTTGGTTATCAGAACGTTTAACTTTATTTTGCTTATTTTATCTATAATTCAATGGTTTATATTACAAATAACTTTTCTGCTATGGTCTAACTTTCCTATGTTAAGTGTTTTTACAACTAGATTATAAAAAATTAATTGGCAGATCATAACTTATAATACGAACTAATCATGTGGAGCCTGATTAAAGTCTTGAGATTTGAACTTTCTAAAATTTTTAAATAAACTCGATGAAATATGGCGAAAAGCTGTCGAAAAGTCCTTTTAAATAACTTGTTTAAAGAACATTCATAACTCATATAACTAAAGTCATATTGTTTTCAATGATATCACTACCTTTCATTTGGTTCAAAGTTTTTCATTTTTTTTTTCGCTTTTGTCATGAAAAATCCATCAATAATTAATCAACTATTGTTCTAAGTGCTCCAAATATAAACTTTACTCCAGTATTCATTATTTTTCGTCCTATTGTTTTTATTTTAATAATTTATAAGTTTAAAAATATCTCTGCATGCCTGTTTTGCCAAGTTGGTTTTAGAAAAATCACCGTAACTTTTTCCAAAGTTACTTGACGAAAAGTCCCACTAAAGCAAAACAATCGAAATGTATATTAGCAGATAAGTGCCGATAATAGCGCCACAAAAACCATATTGACAACATTATTTGTTATCAGCAAATATTGTTAAGAGCGTTTTCAGCGAATTTGCAATTACGCAAAAACTGCTTACATGATTTGTTTGTACGTGGGATGGTTCAGGTGTTGCCAAATATTAGGGTGTGCTACCAAAATCCATCAGTGTAAAACTTCTGGTTTCTCGGCCAAAAACTGCGAGAAGTAATTTTCACAGGCTTCTCTTGAAGCCAACTATACTCCACTAAGGGASTTCTGCATTGACCGAAACAAATGTTAGATCGATGGTGCAATGTCAGGGCTATATGGTGGATAAATCAAAACTTCCTAGCCAAGCTCTCTYAGTTTTTTCCGAGTCATCAAAGATGTGTGCGGTCTAGCGTTGTTCTGATGGAAAGTGAAGCCCTTTCTGTTAATCAGTTCTGGTCATTTTTCTACGATTGCTTCAATCTCATCAGTTTTTTTATCCAGTTTTCGTCTCCTGTTACCATTCGCTTCAAAAATGGTTCGATTYTATTTCGTTTCAGCAAAGAATCGCAGCTTGCACAGACAATTCATGTGGTGCCCAACCATCGAGCTTCTTTTCGTCAACTTTTTTTAAGTGGTTCACAACCGTTTGATGATGAATGTTAAGTTCCTTAGCGATGTCAWGGCTGCTAATGTGACGATCCTGGTCAAGCTTTTCCATAATTTCATCGACTTATTCAGCGATAGACCGACCAGAGCGAAGTGCATCTTTTACATCGAAATTTCCAGA